CTCTCAGGACCTGGATATTCGATGAGACGCCATTTTCACCTATTCCGAGACAGCTTCATTTCAGAAGTGGTCATTCTGCTCCTGTCACTGCGTTGAGTTTCTTGCCCTCGGCATCGGACGGCTCAGAAGCCAGTGGTAAATGGCTACTGAGTGCGAGCAAGGACTGCAGCTTATGGGGACTTAGTGTACGAAAGGACAGCCAGAATACTGAAATTTCGCAGGGCGCAGTTGAGAAGAAAGCCAAGAAAATGTCTGCTCCAGGTCCTGAGAGCTTAGGCTTGCAATGTCGCACACAGGGTTTCAGAGCTTCAGAGATAACTAGCATTGCATGCTCACTAAATCGCGATGGTGGCATGGGTGTCACCACGTCTGGTCCGATTTGGACTAATCCGAGGGTAGCAGATGCGGCTGCTTCGAATAAGACTGGATGGGAGAGTATAGTGACTGGTCACCGTGGAGACAAGTTCGCGCGTACTTGGTTTTGGGGTAGGAAAAGAGCTGGACGCTGGACTTTTGAAACAAGCGATGGATCTGTCGTGAAGGTGAATGGGTTGTCGACAATATGTCATGGAGTATCGCTAACACTTTATTCCAGAGCGTCGCTATCACGCAATGTGGGACTTTCGCTCTCATTGGGTCCAGTATGGGAAGTATTGATGTTTTCAATCTGCAGTCCGGCCAGCATCGACAGCGTCTCCCGGCTCGCGATTTGAAAGGTAAGCGAACCGGCGAGCTTGGTCTAGCCAATGGTTCTCAAGAAAAGAAAATCGGACATACAAAGGCAGTCACTGGCTTAGTAGTCGATTCCTTGAACCGAACTGCCATAAGCTGTGGGTTGGATGGGAAAGTCAAGGTACGATATTCATCTGCTTTTCATAAGTCACAGTTACTAAGTTGTTTAATTTAGTTCTGGGATTTTCACTCCGGGTTACTCCTAGATGAGCTTGATTGGCATCCAATGACAGCAATCACTGGTCTGCGTTATAATAGCAGCAGCGAGTTGGTCGCGTTCAGTTGTGATGACCTCTCGATTCGTGTGGTTGACATTGAAACAAGAAAACTGATACGCGAATTCTGGGGTTGCGTCGGTCAGATCAACGACTTCATTTTCTCCAATGATAGCCGGTGGATAGTGGCTGCTTCTATGGATTCACGTGTCCGCGTTTGGGATTTGTCAACAGGACATCTCATTGATATCTTCCGAGTGCCTAGCACCTGTACCTCGCTAGCCATGTCATCAACTGGGGAGTTTCTAGCCACGGCCCATTCGGATAGTGTCGGTATTCGTCTCTGGACGAATCGAAGTCTGTTTATTCCAATTTCGACCCAGAATCTGGACGAATCTGGTTTCGCTGATACTCATATCCCTATCACATCCGCAGAGGAAAGCGCTGGAGCTCTTGAGGCTGCATTTTCTGAAGAGCTTCATCAGGATGAGGCGGAGGGGCCAGTGCTATGTGACGAACAACTGAGCGGGGGGATGGTAACACTCAGTGCCATCCCCAGGAGTAGATGGCAGACTCTACTCCACTTAGATTTGATCAGGGTATCATCCCACGCTTCTTCCACCTGCTTTATCATTGCTGATTGTTGTTAGGAACGCAACAAGCCAAAAGATCCTCCCAAGGCACCTGAGAAAGCCCCATTTTTCCTGCCATCTGTTTCCGAGAAAACGAGCGTTGAAAGTAGCGACAGAAGCACGGTGTTATCGGTTGAACACACGCTCGCCGAACGCTCAAGGATAGCCAGACCTCATCGATCTCAGACTGTGGACGACTCAGGCTCTTTATTCACAGTCCTTCTGCATTCCGGTCGTCAGTCTAACGATTTTGCACCCTTCACAGATCATTTGAAAACTCTATCTCCAGCAAAGACTGATCTGGAGATTCGATCTCTGGATCTGCGTGTACAAGACGGTCATTCTGAGTTGTCCTTATTCGTCATGGCACTGACTGAGCGACTCCGCCTCAGGAAAGATTTCGAACTTGTGAATGCTTGGATGGCGGTATTTCTGAAAATACATGCTGATATTGTGCGGAAGTGCTCCGAGTCGGCGGCGAATGACCACGGAGAACTGAGAAAATCTCTTGTTCAGTGGAGTGAAGAACAGCAGCGGGAAGTCAAACGCTTAGGTGACCTAGTTGGATACTGTCGAGGTGTAGTGGGATTTATAAGATCATCACGTTAGGATATGTTGAGCTTGAGGGCAACAAATCAACACTGTTACGTGTAGGGTCATACTTCCCTCGTACTCTGGCTATACTGGTCAGTGGGCTTATTACTTGAGCTCTGTTTGGCAGCGATCGAGGATTTCAGAAGTATCCGCGAGCTCACGGCACAAGGAAACCAGTAGGGTTCGTATCACACCGTCTTCCATCTCCTGACATGCATATATATCTAGTGGAATTGTACGCAATATATATCATCTAGCTAGCTGTTTGTATCTCTTCAGAAATTCACTAGCAGCATCTTCAGTAAGGTACTCTTTCACCATCTCGAACCTCGATCTCATCAACACATGAAGTGGGGGAAGGCTCATAAGAGCGTCCTGCATTTTGAGCATGAGTTGATCGTTGGCCGAAGCTGTGAACCCAATCAGTTGTCTCATAATTCTCAAAGAATAGAGCACAGCCTGGACCTGCGCCGTAAGGTGGATGTCTGCCCAGTTTGTCTGATCACACATATAACCAAAACTAAGGAATCTGCTAAATAGCTTAGCCTTGGGAAGTGGAGAGCCACTGTCCCCCCAACCATATATCTCACACAGCGCAAATATTCTCCATAAGTTTGCGGTTGTGGCATTTTCGCCCAGGGCGTCTCGAACTACACTGAGACGTGCATAGAAAGCCGTCATTTGATCTGCAATCCAGCCTGCATCACGGATTGCTAGAGTATCCCTTGCAATTCTTCCCCCTCGTCGTACAAACTCATCGATGAAGCAAGATCTCTGAGACGGTGGACGCGAAGCATTAAAGATCGAATAGCCTAGAACTCTATATGAGAGGCCGTTCTCCCAAGCGCACCGCCTGGTATGATCTTCGTTTAGAATTGCAAGATAAAACCGAGGGAATTCGTCCCATGAATTGATTTCTTGTGTTTCATATTGCCAGACCAACTCTGAGACTCTGGGGTCAAGGTGATGAGAGTCCGTGACCCCCCATTGAGCATGTTCTGGGCCCTTCTTATATTCCTCGGAAAATTCCAAATAGCCTGCAGGTCCTTGGGTTCCAAGGGTCTCTTTTGCAAGCCGTATCAGCTCCGTTAATCCTGAATTTGGGTGAAGTTTAAGTTCATATGCTAGGGGCAGTAAATCAGCCAACCCAAAGCGTTGAGCGAGTGATGCTGGATGTAGCTGCACCGCTTGAAGTGGCACGTCTATTGATCGAGCGCTGTACGTATTTTCCAATTCTAACGAATGAAGGAGCACAACCGAACCATGCAGCCCGATATCATGAAGTATAAGATCCGAATCATTGGTAAGTATCGCAGATCCTGTGAGTTTCGCCAGGTATGCGCAATGCATATCTGCTTCCCCTGCGACCATGACTGTGACATCTGCCCAAGGAAAATCTTGTAATGCAGCTGACTCGGCCAACAATAGGGAGCCCCGCGCAGCTTGAACGATGTTTTCCATATTCCATCGATGCTTGAGATCTTCGAAGACAGCCGGTACCATAAAAGGATTGTCAGGGCATTCTCTGTGTTTAGGAGTCAACGTCCGTCCTCGCAGTATCATTTCGAGCTTGGATTCTGTGTCAATAGGCGTGTAGTTGTGTCGCAGAGAGCCATATCTGATGCTCTTACGAGCTATCTCAAGCTTTCGTCTTGCCCTTTCGAGTCGAGATAGTCTTGTCTCTCTTTTTCGGGCCGGCAAAGCTCCATCAAAGCATATTGCCTTTCTAGACCATATCAGTCATTATTTGCTTGATCTGCTGCTTGGACGTCATTACATGTCAACTCCCAGGTTTCTTAACTTCAAGAGATGCAACATCACCGCGCAACTAACTTCGTTGCATGATGGCTGCATATCAGGGAATTCTAGTCGGTTGTCGGACCATGCCAGCAACCTTGAATGGACGTGATAAACCAGACTGGGGCCATCAATCACAACTGATTGAATGTGGATTCTCCCCTCCTCAGCACTTTGACCACCCTTAAGAAGCACTGCTTCCGAATATGGAAGTAAAAGTCGCGTTAGATGCGGTATACCCATAGCTGAAATGTTTCTGACTCCAGACTATCTACCTGGGTGCTCCCGTTAGGGATGCTGAAATTTTCAGTTAGGGCCTAGGTAGAAGTCACTGCTACTGTTGTAGATCACAAATTTGTAGTGGCTGCGTAAATGTCATGTGATAATTACCCGCGGTTCCTGATATAGTTAGCTAAAGATTGAGCTTACTAAGTACTCAGTGCATCTGTCAACTACAAGTCAACCACCTAATACCCATCCGGGCCATCCATATGCTAATAATGGTGGGCGCCCGCTGGATCCTGAACTACACCAGGTGAAGAGGGAGAGCGCGAGCGTAGAGAGGTAGAGGATCAAGTACCTACTGATCATGATGCACTGTACTGCCCACTCACAGAGCATATAAGGGAAAAAAAGATAAATCCCTCAGGCAACCTTAGAAACGAGTGCAAACATCTCAAATGCCATTTCATCTCTACACAAGGGCCAGAACTGAAATCACAAGGGAAGTGATGGAAAGGATAACAGAATTTTGACGCCCTACTATCCTAATTTCTCTCCACTTAGACAAAGGAAGGAGAAGTCTGTAGCTGCACACGGCAGCTATCCAAGATGTTGGAGGGCTAAGCTAGACGGCCATCCAAAAGAAGGTATGTGATCTCTTGTTATCCAGAGAATACCAATGTTGAAATCGAACCAATGACGTTCGATATATTAGGTTTCTACTAGCCGTAGCTTACCTTCATGAACCTCAAGACGTGTAGTCAAAGCAGTGCAGAAATTAGGTAGTACTCCTCTCCGAAGGCGCCGTTCAGTCATCAGGATACTCATCTCGAATATTGCTCACAAATGTACGAGAACAGCCATCCCACCGCTTGAAGTGCTTTCCTGCTGTTTCCACAAGCGTTCGCGGTAGCTCAAATAGGTCGGGAGTGATAAGTTCGACATTCTCTTCCGCAACGTAGCGAACAGACTTGTCCTCAGCCCTACACATAATTAGCACAGGCAATGAAATACAGCGCAAGTACCGTACAATGCGTGGTAGAAACTTTGGTGCCTGCCGGCTTCCAAACGATCGATGCCCATCCTTCTCATCCACTGTTCGCTCGCATCGCACTCAGTATCCCAACCAGTTATAACAGCTAAGTAACTGTACCGTCGATGGCGGAAGACCTGGCCGACCCTATACCTTACCGCTTTGCGCTCAGGTGTCCGTCGTTTGACCTGCTTGGGTATCTCATCCGCAGCTCTCACGACACGAAGGCTCTCAAGTATGTCCTCTTGCTGGGGCGTGCCTTGAAAAAGCGGTACAAGATACTGTTCAATCAAATGAACATCCGAAGGAAAGTCCGTGGCGAAGAGTTCCAAGAACCAAGGTACGTAGTGCCTAAGTTCCGCCGGCCGGAGAGAAGTGGAAAATAACAGTGACGACCAAAGGGCAGCATATCTTGCACTAACCGCATCGACCGGAGCCAGATGTGCACTAGAGGTCTGGGAAAGACGTTGAATGGAGTTCATGATGTTTTTGCCACATCGCAACACAGTATCAGCAACCCCAGACGCACGAAGGAAAGCCGATTGCTCGGCCGCTGAAGCCCCCAGGAAATTCAACTGATTCTGCAAGTTCTCAACAGGTGTCTCTTCTGCTGAGCGAAATGGATCCATAAAAAGCGGCTCAATCCGTGTCGCGGGCGGGATTGCGTTGCCATCAATGTCCTGACCGCTGGGTGGCATGACTATAACATGAACATGAAACGGAAACCCACAAGGCCAAGCGTCAAGGTTTATTTTTCGGGCAACGCAGCAGTATATAGCTGCTGAAATCAAAGGAAGCGAATTATGATCGGGATCATTTATTGCAAATCCTAGGAAATTGTGCTCCAGGCAATGGTAATCCCGGCCTAACTGAATGCCTGTCAAATTGCTTGCTCTGAGGTATGTGGCAACAGCCCGGGCCTTCTCACGAGGCGTGAGTATATTTATATTAGKGCAGTATGTGAATATGTGCGAGGCGATGTCATCTAGCCTACTCACGATCTGGCTACTGATTAGTGGATGTTTTGCCTCATTATCCTTTCCAAGGTTGAGTGTTTTACATACTTCATCCAGATTCCCGAAACTGCTCTCTGGGATGAAAAGATCAAACGCACCCAAAGCCCTTTCCAGGGACACGGGTTCCCCATTTCTGAGTTTGATCCATTCTGGGACCGCGATACTCCGATGGAGACAGGTCAGCAGCGCTCTTGCGTAGTACCTTTTGTTGAGATAGCGAACGTTAATCACATGGAAAATGACCAGATATTATCAATGGGAGCGCCACCTTCTGGCCAAGGAGTCCTCTGTGTCTGATCCTGCGGAAATATGGCGTAGTAGAGTATCCTTGATGTCATATCCAAGACCAATGATGGTTCGAAATTTCTTGATTCTTCCAGTTTGCCCGGCAAGAATACTGTTAAGAAGATAGCATGTCCTGCGGTCAATAAGATGTCGAGAAACGTAGAGTCGTTTCCAGTCTACTGCAGAGGCAGAACCCCTGTAGCTTCTTGTCATATCATGTTTGGGATCCCAGAATTTGAAGTGGGTTTGACAATAGAATCTCCATAGTAGAGGTTCATTCGTGATATTTCGAAACTTGCGAGAAGTCTGTCCCAGTGCAGCCGAAGAACAAGGGGGGAGGTTACACAGAATGATGTATAGTAGCTCTTCAGGAAGACAATCAAGAGACAAAACCATACCGGTACATAAGGAGAAATAAAGGAGGAATAATGAAATGTCACCTTATCAGTCTGGATAGAACCTAAGTGATAGGACCTTGGAAGATAGATGAGTTGCTAGATATACCACATATTTCTGTCAGCTCTGGAGAGGTATGCCATAAATTTTAAGGTGATAATTCAAAATCTATGCAATACATGGAATACTGCCTTACAGAAAAGGACCCACTGGGGTGGTTGTAATAATCCATGTGTAAGCTGGCTGTATTCTAATCTCTATAGAGGAGGAAATCCCATGGGAATCTCCTTATCTCCTAACCTTAAGTATAAAGTAGTATAATAAAGAATTAACATTATTTGATATCTATTAATAACTATAACTAGTAGGTAGTAGATAGTAATGAATTTAAATCATAGAACCAATTAGGTTGTGTAAAAGTAGTATCTAATATAAAAGATAATAATAATATGTTAGCCTGTTTTCTCTATATATATGTGACAACAGTGATATCAACAGGTATATATATGATTTTGATAATATGTTTTAGATGTGTAATGATATCTACTAGTTATTATTAATTATATATCTAGTGTTTAGGTCTCTCTATTCCTTATAGTTCAGGTTAAAATATAAAAGGGATAGGAACTCTTAATATTAATAAGATATATATAGGGCAGCTAATGGCCTACCCCCTATCCTTATATAATTTAAAGGCTCTCTTTCTACTATAATAATAAATATCCTATCTAGTAGTATATCTAGATTAAGTAAATATATAATATTTAATTCCCAGGAAGGTTTAAAGACCTTAATAAGAATTTAATCTAATTAAGATAATTCTAGAAGATATAGTCTTATAACTATTAAATATATTAATAATTATATAGACTTAAAAATTACTTTATATTAATTACTTTTAAGCTAGTGAAACTACTTTAGATTAATTATTTTTAATCTTTTTAGACTAATCTAGATATCTATAATAATAATAATTTTACTATAGAATATTCTTTAGCTCTTTCCTAATATAATATTATAGTTAAAAATATTATAGACTACCCTAAGTCTTCTAGAAAGTAACTAATAATATAACTAACTATTTAATAAAGAAGAATAAGATAAATTTAAGGTATTAAAACTATTTTAATAAGATTAATCTTAATTATTATACCCTTAAATTTTATTATTTATTTAATTATCCTTCTTTATATAATAAAATAAATAATATTAAATCTATATCTTCTAGTATAGAGATCCCTTAAACTTAGTCTATTAATAATAATAATAGATTTAAGATATATTTAGCTTTAGTAATAATTTAATCTTACTATCTAAGGTATAGCTAATAATAGTATTTAGGCTAGGTTAGTTTAAATATATAATTCTCTAGTTAAACTTCTTTAGGATAAGTATTATTACTATAATTATACCTCTCTAGCTAGAGTTAAGGAAGCTATAACTATTATCTTTAACTTTAATTCACTCTCTTTTACTCCTATTCTTTCTATAGTACTTAAGCTATATTAAAAAGTATCTAATCTAGAGCCTATCTCTATATATAATATATTTAGTAATAATCCTTTTTATCTTATAGGATTAGCATTTATTAGTATCTTCTTTAATATTAATAGGGCTAGGCTCTTCTAGGTTATAGTTAAATAGATTATTACTATTATATATCTATGCTATCATCCTCTTGCTTTATGGTTATATAATATTTACTTTATAATTATCTTTACCTTATTAGTTAGTTATAGAAGAAATAATAATTATCTTCTTTAAAATATAGTATCAGCTACCATAGCTATACTAAATAGTAGTATATCCTAGGCATCTAGGAATTAATTAGGGATAAGCTAATTAATTAATCTCATTATTTATTTTATCTATTTTAAAATATTAAATAATAAGTAGTATAGCAGAGGACTTCCTTATACCTATTAAATAATTCTATTATTATTAGTTAAATCTATATTAATATATTACACTGCCTTCCCTTTTAGAAAGGAAGATAATAAAAAATCTTAAGTCTAATAGTTAAATTACTATATCTATTATAACTTTATTAACTAATTTTTAATTTATTAAATACCTTATCTCTATTAAACTTTAATCTTTATTTATTAAAGCTGTTGAAGTAATGTCCATCTTTAAGTAATTTATATATATATTCTATATTATATTTTTATTAATTTTTTATATTTAGTTTAATAAAATTATTCTTTAGTAATTTAAATATTATTAATATATTAAATTATATTATCTATTTATTAGCCTATTATTAAAATCCTATTATAAATAATATTAAAATAAGCTAAAATTAATAAATTAATTATTAAAGTAGCTATATAGCTATAGGAATTTGAATAATCTAAGTATAGTATAATAAAAGACCTTAATACTAAAATACTAATAAGAATTATATTTATTCTAAGATATAGAGCTAATCTAGATTCTAAAGTAGTAATACCTAATACTTAGATATACTTAAGGGTATCTATTACTATAGTTATTAGGAAGTTTCTTAAAGATATAGAGTTCTTATAAGATAATTAGTAATATATCTTATACTATAATTAATATCTATAATAGAATAATTATATTATAAAGAAGCTATTAATCTAGACTTTAAAACTATATTTTACTAACTCTAAAATATCTAGCTTTTTAAAAAAAAAAGAAGTACTATTTAGTATACTATAGCTATTACTAAAAAATAAAGATAGTACTATTAATTTAAGAGCTATAATATTACTAAAAGCTAATACTAATAAATTACTAAAATCTAATACTAATACTAATAAATTTAGTATTATATTAGATTTTACTGAGTAACTTAATAAGCTTAATCTAGATTTTCTATTATTTAATATATATAAAGAATAACTAGTTCTAGTATTATTAAGTATAGATAAATTAATAGAGCTACTATAGGCTAATAACTAGATAGATAATAAATTATCTAAAGATATACTAATATTAGACTCTCTAGGTCTATATTTAAATATATTAGGGCTAGGTATTAATAGTCTAAATAGACTAAATCTTATTTTTATAGAAGGATAGAAAGAATAACTTAATATTATAATTTAATAAGTAATAGTAATATCTATCTAGACCCTAGTTAATACTTAGCTAGTAACCTAGTAGGGTAATACTAGATAGGCTAATAAATTAACTAAGAAAGCTAATAATATTCCTAATAAGTAATATTATACTTACTATAATAATAATTAAAGGTATAGTTATAATATAAGTAATATAAGATATTATAATTAATATTACTAATCTAGGTATAGATAAAGATATTCTAATAATAACTATAATCTAAGTAATTTAAGTAATAATAAGAATTATTTTTCTAATAAATACTCTTATAAAAGTGCTTAAAGTTCTTATAAAATAGATAATTAAATCTAAGAAAAACTAACTAAAGATAATTAGTATATAGCTAATATAGGCTTCTTTTTTCTAAATATATTATTTACTAAGATAGTAGAGAAATTATTAAAAAGAATAATAAGATATTTTACTATTTTATAGTAGCTTTTACTAATTAACTTTAGATTACTAAGATATCTAGATTAGTTATAAAAATTAGCTAAAATCTTAATATTTATTTTAGGGGTAAGGCCCTTAGGTAATAGAATACTAAGATTAATAATATTATATACTATAGTTTATTTTATATAAATAATATTAAAGATTAATATACTATATAAGAAAAATACTTCTAGTTACTATAATTAGGTAAGGTAGAGGCTTAATAATACCTATTATATAATAGTAGATATAATTACTAGATACCCTCTTTCTTTATATATTATATCTATTATTTATAAAATAGTATAGAGAAGATAATATAGAATTTCCTCTGATATATAAGCTTAGAGAAATCTTAATATAGCCTTAAGAGAATTAATTAATAAATTAGATAAGGAAACTATTATTACCTACTTTATTTAAATCCTTAATAAGAAGTTAATTAATTAATTTAATAAATATAGTATAATACTATATTATCTTACACCCTAAATAGCTACTTAGAACTCTCTATATAATAGATTCTATAGCTACTACCTTTAAGCTGCCTAGATAAGAACCCTGTATTTCCCTACCTATATATATATTTCCCCTAGATATAGCCCTCCTAATATTATACTATCTTAATATAGTTTTTAGTATTTTCCTAGCAGAGGTTATATATATCCTATATATATAAATTAACCACCTTACTGGCCCTAACAGTAGTAATTCTAAATACTATAGTCTTATAACTATAAATAGAAGGCTAATAAAACCTAGAGAGTATTAGTTTTACTTCCTACCCTAAGATAGAATTAATATTATTTAGGGAATTACCTTTAAAACTTTCTATAGAACTATATTTATATATATTATAATAAGTAGTATAAAGATAACTAGAATTATAAAGAAACTAGCTATAATAAGTATTTTTAAATTAAAATAGAATCTACTAGCTTCTAGGAAGACCTAGAGTACTATAATAATAATCTTAATCTATAAGACTAAGAATATAAAGCTAAAGTAACTAATATATATTTTATATATTTAGTATAATATTATATCTATAAATAGGAATTTCTATCTAATAATACCTTGCATACCTATATTTAAAAAAGTATTAAGGTAATTATAATCTTCTAGTTCTATATTAACTTCTATAGTACTAAGTAGTCTTTTTTATAGTAATTAATTCTCTTTATTATTATTATTATTAGAATTATTATAATTCTTTAGAGATTTAAAGTTATTAAATACTTTATAATCTTTAATAATAAAAGCTTTTAATAATTAACTAACTAATATTTTCTTATTTAATAATCCTTTATATTTCCTAATTACTTCTTATTATTAATTATAGTCTTTCTATCTATAATTAAAATAACTTAATTAATTTAATACTAAGCCTTCTATTTATATATTTCTTTTCTAGAGTAATTAGAAGATATAGTAATAATATTTAAATTAAGATCTATTAGATCTATTTAGTAATC